AGCTGCCAGAACTGTTAGCTTGCCCCACCAGCCTGTGCTCTGTGCCTAGGCCCGCTGACAGGGAGGGGCAAAGGGGGCAGCTATTCTGGGGCCTGGCAATGCAAAAGGGCCTGGAGCTCCCTGTTGCCGCCGCTACTGTGGTGACCGGAGCCCTGGGCCCTTTAAATTGCAGTTGGAGCCCGGCATGGCGTGCGCGGGGCAGCACCGAGGGCTGCCTTCAGGAGGCACAGCTCAATCCATGCGATGCTGAAGGCTGCTCAGCCCCTACCCTGTCCCTTCTGCTCGAGACCCTGCCCCTTCTGGGGGCACGGAGCAGTGCCCCCCCCCCACCTTGCCCGGGGTCTGGCAATTCTGTTGGCTCCCCTGTCTGTGCCCCTTTGTGAAACAGGAAGCTGGCTGCATTGGTACTGGCCTGTGGGCATGATGCACTTGATGTTTGTGCACTGGATGAATTCTCTCTCGGACTCCTTTCTGCTACCCGGACGATCCCTTCTCTTTGACAGCCAGGGCCTGGTCCCCTGTTGCTGATTCTTCACCCTGCTGTTTTGTCCTCACTTTCCCATTTGCTCGAAATGCAGAAAAATCCATCATAACTAGGCTGAATATCCCCCCCAAGAGAGACGCCCTTAGAGACGTGCCCATCCCTCTAGTGTCTGGGTGACACTGTATCCTCACACACCCCTAAGGGGCAGGGCCATCTGTTCTTCCCATTGGCAGTGGGAGCCCAGGCCCTGAGAGAGCCAGCTGGCTACAGTCACACGGTCAGCCTGTTTGTGGAGCAGAGAGTGGAGCGCCCTTCCCCACTGGCCCAGCCCTTCTCTCCAGAGAGTCCATGAAGCCCACTATTGATTTTATATGGCACATGCTCTTATCATAGCGGGGTGGGCAGTGGAATAAACCCCCTGGAGAGCGAGCTGTGTGGGGATGCCTGGATGGATGGATATGTTGAGGGGGTGGAATGGGATAGAGGGCTAGATGGGCATGTAATGAGGACGGGTGGGTGGGTCTATATGGGGACACAGAAAGAGAGATTGAAACTCTGAGGGTGCCTCGTGATCCAGCAGCTGATGTGGTTGCAGCCAATGTGCTGGGCTAGGTCGGTAACTGGATTTCGAAGGCAGCCATGTGACTTTCTGGTTGGCTGTTATTTAACTCGCCAGGGACGTGGCGTTGTTCCAAGGGCTCTGGTGAGGGCTGCTGCTCCGCCTCCCACCCAGCCCCCTGCCACTCCCGGCACTGATTGGCAAGAGCAGCATGTCCCTGGAGAACACAGACACCCACTTGTTCACGGAGACCAGTCCCAGACCGAGAGCAAAGCGGCATGTTGCCCGCAGCCCAGAGCCCCTCGCAGTCGCGCATGAAAGCAGATGTGTGAAGTCGGCAGGAGGCTGGGCAAAGAGCTCAGAAGGACTTTCTCATGTGCCGCGGAGGGGCTGGGCGGGAGCGGACCCCACAACAGCCTGCCAGCGTTGGTGGACAGCAGAGCGAGAACTGTGTCATTGGTGGGCAAAGGCAGCTGCTCCCCTCTGCTTGCTACCACGTAGGGCGGTTCCATAGGGTCAGAGCATCATCATCCCTGGCTCTTTCCTCAACACCAGAAACAGCTTCTTCACTGCCTTCTTCTCCAGGCTTTCTCCTCAGTCCTGGGCTTGGTCTTAATTTCCTGCTTGTACCCAGCTGTGTGAGTGTGTGTGTGTGTGCGTGTGCGCGCGCATATTGATCTGCGTGTGTGTACACCTGACCTTTGTATGCAGACACATACATTTGTGCACACGCCCATGCATATCTGTGTATGGGTGGGCGCATACATCTCTGTGTGTGGTTGTGTGCTTGCCTGTGTGTGTGAGTGTGCAATGCGTGTTTGTGTCTGTATGTGCATGTGTGTGAGAGGGCATACCTCTGTCTCTGTGTGCGCATGTACATCTGTGTTTGTGCACACATGTACAGCTATCTCTGCATGTGCATGCTCAGTCCCTCGGTCTGTGTGGGTGTGCATCTGTGCAGGGATGTGTGTGTGCACCTGTGTACCCGAGTGGTTGGGTGTGATGTCATGTGATCACCCGGATGTAGCTGGAGGAACACTCTGGGGAGAAGGACTGGCTGCAGTAGCTGTTGATCTGTGTTTGCTGCCATGTCCAATTAAGCTGGTATGAAGCAGAGCAACCCTGCCGGAGGAGTAGCATCCTGAGCTGTGCTAATGCCATTCCCCCCAGATCAGAGACAGAGGGGGAAGGGAGACCAGAACAGGCCCATGGGTGTCTGGGTTGGTGATGCCATGGGCCATCATGCTAGTACAGACTGTGGCACTGCAGCCACAACAGGGGCATGGGAGGGTCACCGGCCACTTGCTACCACTGCAGCACCTATGTCCTTGCTTAGGGTGGCCACATGGTGTCACATCCCTATAGGTTCAGCTGGGCAGTGGAGGGGGGCATGAGCACATCCTGTGCCTCTTCAGCCTCTCCTCTGGCAAGTGGTGCAGCAGCTGCAGGGCTTGGTGGGTGCCTGGCAACTGCAGGCTGCTGCTGCCGCAGGGTGGCCTTTGTGCTGGGTCCCTGCCCTGGTGCCCTGGCCTGGCTGGGTATTGACGTAGGGGGGAGGGCTCCATGCTGGATCTGTGATGTTGACGAAGTCCCAGGGTGAGTGTGGTGTAGGCCCAGCTGGTGAATGGTTAGCTCTGGGATACCTGCCTGCAGGAATACGCCTGTTGAGACGGTTGCTGAATGCGCTGCAACTCAGGACTCTCTAGCTGAAGGGCCAGCTCCGCCATTTCCCCACAGGCTGGCAAGGCTCAGCCTGAAGGGACTGCATGAGAGGATTTGGGCAAGCAGGAATCTTCCTCAGTGAGTTTTTGAGACTTTCTCTTTCCCAGCCGAGAGTAGCTCCCGGGGTGGGTGGTGGCTGCTGGCTGTGTGCACAGGAACCAGTCTGGAGTCTGGGCTAATACATCCAGCTTTGCAGGATTCCCAGCTCCTCAGTGGGGCAGCCAGGGAGTGCAGAGCTAGAGGCCCAGGGGTTGACTGGAGCTACCTGGCAGTTATGTGGACAGCCCAACATGTGTTCTGCTGCCCCAGAGCTGCCGCCTGGGGACTTCTGCATTCAAAGCCTGAGCACAGGAAGAGTGAAACCCACAGATCCTTGATCTAAAGGTCTCAAGGTGTGTAGAACGTGGTTAGCAGTGTGTGCATCACAACGGAGGAGGTGCTGCCATGTCTTGGCACAGGAGGGTCCCGGGTGCTGCGCTGGAGAGAGGGGTCCCAGTCGTGTCTGGGACTGGAGCTGCCCAGTGCTGCGCTGGAGCAGAGGGGACACAGTCGTATTTCAGGCTGAAGGTTTCTTGGTGCTGGAGCAGAGGGGACGCACTTGTGGCTCGCTGCTGAACTTGGAGTCTGCCTCACAGCCTATGAAATCTGTGCTCGGTCTCCACCCAGGCTGGCAAAGGTCACCGCGGGGGCTGATTATGTGCTGGCCATGGATTTTCCGAGATTAGTTGCCACTGTAGCCCCAGCTTCGCTCAGCAGATCTTCCCTTTGTGTCCCGAGTGGAGGCTTGGCATCGCGCCAGGCTGTCGTCTCTGTGTACACCATAGTGACTGCCAGTGTCCCGTGGGCCTACAGGGATTAGTGCTGTTGCCCCCACACTCTGTGTGCCCTGGACGCCTGACTCTGCTCTGCCTCCAGTCTCAGTCCTCCCTCTCCAGGGGTGATTTGGATGGGGATGGCAGCTGGAGCTCTGGAGGTGGCCCCCTGGGGTCTCTTTCTGATTGCAGATTGGAGCCCCAGTGGGGGAACGGCCTGGGTCTTAGCACCCCAGCTGACTGGCTGCTGCTGGGTTTGCTTGGGACCCTTCCTTTTGCATGGGACACAGGGGGGTTCTTCGGAAGCTGAACATCCACAGCCCAGCATGGAAATGAAGACTGTCCCTTGTGCGGTTCGCCTGGGCCTGGGACTGACTGGTGACCTGTGATCATTGGTTATCCCCTTGTCTGGGAGCAGTGTTCAGCTCTTCCCTTGAAGCAGGGGGATGGTTGTCTTAGAGTGGCTGGAGCAAATTGGTGTAGTGACCTGGCTACTGTAGCAGGCCTGTGGAGATGCTGAGGAGAGGCCCTTAAGGATCACTGAAGTCTGGAGGAAACCCCCGAAGCAGGGATTACAGGGGCCTAGCAGCAGCTTCTCTTATTTACCCTGAACCAGCTGTGAAGCCAGCTCTTTGCAGATGGATCCAGAGGGATTACATCAGCCAGCTGGGAAATGCAATTGCCTCTGGGGCAGGGTAGGGCAGTTGTCTAGGTGTGCAAAGCTGTGCTGTGCAGCAGCTCAGCCACAAGCTGCTCCCTCTTTCCAAAGGCATGGAGGAGTGAGGGTTGTCATGTCCTGGGGTGCAGCTGGCCCTGGGGCTGACACCCCAAAGCCAAGAAGTGGCTGGACTGAGCTCATGTGTGCACCACTGCGTGAGCGCAGAATGGGACCGTGCAGCCTGCACTCTCCGAGCCATCTCAGACCCAACCTTGCAATGCAGAGAGGAGTAATGACCCGGGTGAGGGGTGCCTGCAGGAAGGTCCCAGCTTCTTTGTGGTCTGGGCACAGTAAAGGATGACAGGTTAAGTCTCCCTAGGCCCAGAGCTTCCTAGCTTTGCTGCATGCTGCTGCTTCTCCCAGTTGCTGCCACGCGACTGGAGACACCAGGGTATGTTCCCTGCTTCTGCTCTCAAGTTCTGTGCTGGCTGCCTTTGAATCTGGAGGCGAGGAACTCTGTGCTTCAGACCTGTCCTTTGCTGTTCAGAAGGAATCCCAAGGGACCTACCTGGCCCTAACAGGGAGCCATCAAGAACTGCAACTGTCCTACTGGGGCAGCGCTTTCCCTGGGAGCGAAGGATCGCAGTCCCTTCCCTGCCCATTTGCTCTCCGCTGGAAATTGGAGGCTAAGGCAGACCTGGTCACTGAAGCATTTTCCTGCTTTCAGCCTCACGTTGCTGGAGATTTCTTCTGCAGGGTGAGTGTTGGAGGCACTTGGAGCCAGCCTCCCCCCGCCATTGTTAGGCACTGGATGAACACGGGCCAAGGACGGTCCCTTCCCGACAGAGCTCAAACCTGAATACGAAGTGGTGCAGGGGGCAGACCAATAGGGGAACAGCCTGGGTCAGTACACGCAATGGGCTTAGCACCCCAGCTGCCTGGCTGCTGTTGGTTTGCTTGGGACCCTTCCTTTTGCATGGGACACAAGAGGATTCTTCAGAAGCTGAGTATTCACAGCCCAGCATGGAAATAAAGGCAGTCCCTTGTGTGGTTCTGTAGGGGCTGGGATGTGTGGGAGGAGGAGCTGAAATGTCTGACATGTGCAACAGGCGGGCAAAGGAGCAGGGCTGGAGGCCAGGATTTAGGGGCTGAGACTTTGTCACCTTTCCTGTGAGGCAGAGGGACTGCAGCATGCCCCAGTGCGTGTGTGGGGAGCTAGGGAGCTGCAGCTGGAGGGCACCTTTGCAAAGCCCCAACAAGACTCAGGCGCAGTGGTTTGTTTCACAGCCCGTGGGTTGCGTTTGTTTGCCGAGGGGAGGAATAATGGTCTCCTCGTGGAGCATGAGCCCAGCAGAAGGCCTGTGTGTAGGGCAGATGCATCTAAAAATATCGAGAGCTGAAACATGTGGGGAACCTGAGAATAGCAGCATCAGCTCGGGGGCCACGTGGCTGGCATTGCTGTACAGGACGGCTGCAGGGGTTCCCTTTGCCAGGCTGGAGGGGCGGGCCCTGCTGTGCTCGCTTGAAACCTTCCCCTTGTGGAGCTAGCTAAGCCTTTGCTAGCGCTGAGTCCCCTAGTGGGAGATGGACAAAGGTCTGTGAACTCTCACACGTTGGTGCTCCCAGTATTACCCTGGCCAAAGGCCTTCATGCTCATCTCCCCGGGGAAATCTCCTGTGGTCTCTGCTGGGGGCGCAGGGAATCCACAACCTTTTCCCTGCCATCGGCAGAAAGAGTTGCCATGACATGGAGTTGCCCTTCCCCTCCTCAGCGCTCCCAGTGCTGTGGCACCAGGCTTTGCATAATGCTTGGAAAGCACATCACAGAGCAGAACCCAGGGGCATGGCCTACGGGGAGGGGAGGACAGCAGCTGTGAGGTGAGGCAGCATGTGGTGGGGAGAAAAGAGAGGAGGGTGAGGCACCCAACCCATTGGGGCCTTTTCTTCAAGCAGGCAGAATGAGTCAGCTGTGTGATTTGTCCTCTGCTTTGATCCTGAATGGGTTGGACTTTGGACCCTGGACTGGCAGGTATCTGGGCCTGAAAGCCTAAGAGGACTGGCTGAGATTTTTGGCTTCACCCTCCATTCACAGCCGCCCTGGTGCAAGCTGAGTCACTTCAGAGGCCTCCACACCCATCCCACAGGCTTCTCTCTCCTAAGCCACCTGAGAAGAACAAACCAGTTTCTTCTCCAGTTTATTGCTGGTTTCCAAATTACTCAGAGATCAAATTGTTCCAGCCTGGGAGACCCTGTGCAGAGCAGACATTGCCCCTCGGGAGAGCCCTGCACAGGTACAAAATTTTGTATCCACATCTGCAAAAATGAGTGGCCGATATAAAGTGGATATCCATGGATTTGCAGGGCTCTACCTCTTGGTCTGGGCATCCTGCATGACCCTGAAGGACAGCAGAGCTACCAGGGTGCTTGGAGAGAGCTGTTCTGGGGCTCCAGAGCAAGATCACAGGGACCAGCCACAGTGCCAGGCCTGGCTAGCCTGAGGTGTGGTTGCCTTTGGACTATGCAGGGACAGGGAATAGTGCAGGTGACCCTGATTTACAGTGTGACCCTGAGAACAGAACCTGGTTCCAGGGGTCCTTTGGGAGCAGACTGATTTGCCTTTCAGCAGGGCTCCTGGGTGGGTGTTTTGCTGTGAGTCAGAACTCCAATAGGAAGCTTGTACCAGACGTGAGCTACTGATCATAGAATCATAGAACCATAGAGCTGGAAGAGACCTCAGGAGGTCATCAAGTCCAGCTTCCTGCTCTAGGCAGGACCAATCCCAACTAGGTCAACCCAGCCAGGGCTTTGTCTGATGCTACAGAGCACCATAGTCTGTAGCTGCCCTGGAGTAAGGTGCGGCACAGCGGAAGGGTAGCTGGATGGGATGAGGTATAGTGAGGGATGCACAGGTGTGTGTGGGTGAGCATGCACAAACCATTCTTGTTACAAAGGGAGCCTGACACATAACCGGGGGTGACCCACTAAAATTGTTTGTATTTACTATTTGCCTGCAACAATGCCCTGGATTTGCAAAGAAAACCCACCTTCCCAGCATTTGAGATGCTGGAGGATTCATCCTGTCTGAGTTTTAAGCCGGGGAGGTGGATCCAGTGTGGCTCAAACCTGCCTGACAACAACGCATTATGTTACTTTAAATTATTGTTTTAAAAACGTGCAAGTACTGGAATCGCCCTAGTGATTCCATGGGTCTCCCGGCCTCAGGCTACCCTTCCTTTGACTTGGGGAGTGCGTTGAAAGAATATCTGGATTGGAAACCTATGGAGTCATCTGGGGAGCTGGGAGGGGCTCAGGGTTAAGGAGTTGTCTTTAGAAAGCTGTGCAGTGGCTCTGAATGTTACCTGAGAGCAGAGGTGAAAGTAAGTGGGTGCACCCTGTTGTGCAGCACCGGCAAAAGCCAGCAGGGAGCTATTTAAAGAGCTGGCAGGAACCCGGGTTGCAATAGGACAGTCCCTGTAAGAAATGCTAATTTACTTTCATGGCTGCCTGTGAGGCTGCCAGACCCACCTGGCAAGGGGTGAGTGGCAGATAAGGAGAGGGGGACCAGGATTGCATCTTATGATGTGTTGCACAGCTGCTGCTATTCCTCTCCCCGTGTCCCTAGCAAGGCTTTGAGCATTCCATGTGCAGAACGGTGTCCTTCAGGGGCTAAAGGGAGCAGTGGGGGTTTAAGCACAGATGTCTGGTGGCACCGGCTGACCCCTGGCCATTTGGGAGCTGGACTTACAGGACTGAGCTGGGGAAACACCTGATTGGGCAGCTGTTTCCACCAGTGCAAAGAGGCTACAAATTTCTACCAGCCCTGCAGATGGCAACAGGGGAATGGCACATCCGGCCCGTGGTATCTAGCAGGGATGTTAAATATCGGTTAATTGAACAGTCGAGTAACCTCATGAATTCTTATTGGTTAGTCGACTAGTCTATAGTCCCCGGGGGTGGGGCCGGCAGCTGGTGCGCTCTGGCCTTGCTCCTGAGGAGCCAAGCTCCCCTTGTGGACTGGCTGCCTGTCGCCCAATGCTGCTGCCTCTGCTAAAGAGGCAGCAGCACAGGATGGCAACAGCCCCTGTCTAGGGGACGTCTGAGCTCCTGCACCTGGTGTGAGGCGAAAATGAGCTTGGCTGCCTGCCCACGTGGTTCCTAATACACGTCAAATGTAGAGCCACAGCAGGGGTAGGTCCCGGATCCGGTGCGGGCCAGGACTGAGCCAGGCTGCTTGTCTGCCTGGCTCCTAATACACTTTAAATGCAGAGCTGCAGCGGGGTAGGTCCCAGACCTGTCGCTAGTCAGGAATGAGCTGAGCTGCTAAATTTACTGGCCAGTGGAAATGTGTGTAGTCTATAGCATTAACCTATAAGCTTTTGCTTATTGCTTAATTGGTTAATCGACTATACTATGTATTACATCCCTTGTATCTAGGGCTCTGAGATGGAGAGATGCTGAGCCTTGGCCCCTCCAGCCGAGCTCAGGGGGTGGGAGGAGACTGAGCACAGTGTCCCAGAGGGATACATGCTGGGACAATTGGTTGGGGACAGGACGTAGCACGGCCCAACATCATGGACACGGGAGCAGATTCTGCAGTAGCCGATCTCCCTTCCCATTGGTATTGTTATTGCCTCTGTCCACATTTTAAGCAATGCCCTTGTCTTACTCAGTTCCATGGTCTCCTTTAGATTTGCATCTTGGCAGCTCTCCTGCAAGGAAGTCCCCACTTCAGGCTTGCATGCTGCCCAGGCAGCCCCTAGCACTGGATCTCCAGCTTCATGGTTGCTTCCATCCATTTCTCAGCTCTGCAGCAGCTGCTCATAGAAGGGGCTGACAGAGGGCCATGCCCTGTAGGCTGTGGGGGCTGACAGAGAGCTGTGCCTTGTAGGATGTGGGGGCTGACGGAGGACTGTTCTCTGTAGGTTGTGGGGGCTGACGGATGACTGTACCCTATAGGTTGTGGGGGCTGACGGAGGGCTGTACCCTATAGGTTGTGGGAGCTGACAGACGGCTGTGCCCTATAGCTTGTGGGGGCTGACGGAGAGCTGTTTTCTGTAGGTGGCAAGCCACTCCAGAGCACATTCCCTTCATTGGGATACGCTTCTGATTGCAATTTTGGCTCCTGAGTTCAAACACCTGTAATTCTGCAAGAGCTGACACCTCCCTGAGCGCCCAGCCTCTCTCAGGCGTGGGTCCCTTGTCGCGTTTCCAGCCTGGGACCTGCACTGTCTGGAGTTGCTGGAAATGGGAAAGTTTTTTTGCCTTGCTAGCTGGGGAAGAGGAAAGGTGGGGCAGCTGGCGTGGGTGTTGCCGACTAACACCAACCAGGCAGAACTAGCAAAGGCTCACCGCCCCCTGGTGGTGACAGTCACATGGGCAGCCAGGCCCAAGCAATCCCCGCCTCCCCACACAGGTTGCATCAATTCTCTTTACTTGTCCCTATTTAACTCCTTCCTGCTCAGCAAACCCTCTGACTAGAGAGTGGTTTTATACAGACCATTGTATGGGGGTGTCGAGCTACTCCCATTGCCCTGATTAGGAACAATTCATTCAAAGAAACCGAGATCCCTGCTTGACGCCTGGATTCCCGTGTTCTCTGCCATGTGCCATTCTCACACCCTGCACTCTGCTGGAAAGCTCTGGGTGCAGCATGGCACATGTAGACCCGGCTGGTCTCAGGGTTTTGGGAGGCAGCTTGGTGGACACAGCAAAAGCCTCCAGAAAACCTTAATATAGTATTTCCAGCCTGCCCAGTGTTGGGGTTTGTTTTAAGTTTCACAGTGATGTTAATCTCTTGGCTTTGCATCTCATTTTTTTAAACACCTTGGTATTCTTTTTAGGGTGGAATCCATTGAAGTCAAAGGCAAAACTTTCTTTGATTTCAGTGGGGCCAGGATTTCCCCCTCAGAGTTTATTTTCACTTTATGAACATTATACATTTCAAACAATAATATTTAGCTCTTCTGGACAGCTTTTCGTTCCCCACTGAAACACTTAAAACCTGGCAGGGTCTTCTGTGTTGGGTTGTTTTCAGTCACTCCATGAGTAGTTCAGATACCAGTGTCTTTTTTTGTTAGATCCTACAACTGTGAGACTGGGCTCATCCTAGAATGGACCAGAAAAAGCTAAATGTAAAAAACATACCATAAAACATAAAAAACATAAGTGGCTTATTCAGAACTCCTTGAATTCTTTATTAGGCTGGGAAGTTGAAACAGACATTACCGAAGGTCGCCAAGTGAAAAGAGGAATTCCTGGGGCGGTTCCAGCCTGGACCAAAGTCCCTGCAAGGTCAGTCAAACAGGATCGGCCCATTCATCCCTCATCTCTTAGACAATGAAACATGCCGATTCTTACTTTCTCTGCTACACCTCCCACAATACCCATGCTGGGTGAAATCCAACCTATGCAAAAAGCTAGCACTAACGTCTCCACTCTCCAAGCTTTGTGCAAGGAGATAACTGTTACCTGCTGCAGTTTATGCATTGAAGTTTAGGGGCATGGAAACTGTGCCCAGCCCATGTCCATCCAGACTGTCAGCTTCCAAAGTTAAACTACAGAGATAAATACCCCGCACCAGGCATGGTGGGACCAGTCCTGCCCCCGCCCCCGAGCATGGAGCTGTGCCCCTTTCCATCTTGGCTAATAGCCACTGATGGACCTACCTCCCAGGAACTTAACTCATTATTTTCCTGCCATTTAGATGGAGAAGGAAGAGGAGGAAACACGGGAGATCTTACTCCCCAACTGGCAAGGAAGCGGCTCTCATGGAATCACCATTGATCAGACGGAAGATGGAGTCTTTGTGAAGCAGGTGGTACAGACTTCTCCTGCAGCCAGCACTGTGAAGGAAGGTGAGCACAGTGTACCACCCGGTGGGATTGTGTCGGTTTATTGCTTGGGTGAAGGAACAAGGATTATGGGAAATTCTGACTCTCTTTCTCTTGTTCCTTTGCAACCCTTTATTTTATTGTAATTCTCTCAAAGCCACAGAAGCAGCACTAAGGCAGCTTGTTTTCCTGGCACCTCCTGCTTGGGGCTCCTGCCCTGTTCTCTGCAAATGGAGACTCCTCTCTCCATCACACCCTATCTGTTTGCCTCTTCCCTGAGGTGAGACTTTTCTGGCCAACTCAGCTGCTTTCTTCTTCCTGTGCTGTGCTGGTGGCCCAGCCCAGATATTATCTACTGTACTGTAGCACCTAGAGGCCCCTGTCTGCTGCACAAATACATGAGAAGATCGGCCCTGCCCCAGTGAGTTCACTGTCTAAACAGACACAAGGTGGGAGGAGAAACAGAGGTGCCAAGGGGGGAAGGGACCGCCCCACATCAGGATCAGAGCTGGGGATAGAACCCAGGAGTCATGGTTCCCAGGAATTCTTGTTCTAACCCACCAGATCCCCGGTACTCCTACAGCCAGGGAGAGAACCCATGAGTCCTGGCTTCCAGCACCCCTGCTCAGAGTGACTAGATCCCACAGCTCTCTGAGCTGGGAACAGAACCCTTGTGCCTTACCCATTGCACAGCGCTGCTTTCACAGCATGTTTGGAGCCTGCTCCAAGGCACTAATACCCTCCTCTCTTGCCTCAGAGTTGTCTCACTGACTCTATGCCTGGAGCAGGATTTGGTCATTGCTGGCTCCATGGGGTATTGTGGGAAAGCGGGGGGCAGCCCCGTCTGTGGTGACAGGAGTATGTGTCTTTGCTCCAGCCAGCCTTGGAATGAAACAAAGGAATCAGCATGAACTTTCAGATTAACCCCTCTAGGCAGGGCAGCCTACAAGTGTTCCTGGCCTCTGGGAAAGGTGTGTGGGGGCCCTGGTTCTGTGCTCCCAGAAGAAGTGGGGCTGAGGGCAGCTGGCCATCAGCACTGCCTGGACCGTGCCCCTCTGCAGTGCTGCCTGGAGCATGCTGTGTGTCTCCTCCCCCCACCCCACCTTGCACCTCTCCAGGCGGCCCTAACAGCCACCCAGAGTGCGCTGTGCAGCACTCTGGTGACAATTTAAAGGGCTTGGGCCTTCTGATGTGTCTGCTGCATCTTCCCCTTTGAATCATTGGGCCCTGGGGCAATTGCTCCCTATACCCTCCCCAATGGCAGGCCTATCTCTAAGTTCCTGTCAGCACATCACAGCCATGGATCAAGTGCTGGAAGCATTTGGCAGGTCGCCCCTGCACTGGCCGCAATGCTGTTGAAAAGGCTTTTGATTATTTTGATCAGCCTTGTGCATTCCTCAGTGAGATTTGTTTGTTGCTTGGGCCCAGGCTTGCCAGTGCCCTCAGCCTGGCTTCACTCCTTTCTCTCCACACCTGTAGGGGATCAGATTGTGAGCGCCACCATCTATTTTGACAACCTGCAGTCCGGAGAGGTCACGCAGCTGCTGAACAGCATGGGCCACCACACCGTGGGGCTGCGGCTGCAAAGAAAGGGGGACAGGTCTCCACTGCCAGGACAGTCATGGTCACACGATGTGTTCTCATCCACGAGCCCGGAAGTTGTTCTGGTGAGTGAGGGAGGGATGCAAGCTCTCAGCCTGATGACAATGGGAAGGGAAGGGAAAGCAGCCCAAGCATTCCTG